CAATTAACAATCTTTATTAGATTATTGTACAGCAGACATTCAAGCCCTCTCAAAAAGAAAGGGTTCACAAATTTTAATATTTCACTATTTTTCACACTCCTTTGTTGATTATAAAGATTTTCTTGTACATGTTTTTAGAGAAAATAAAGGCACCGCTCTGTGGGACAAACAAAACCAAACAAATTAAACTAAAGCCACATGCACAGCAATTTTAAATTACTCCTAACTGCTTTTGATTTCTTACTAGGCAGGTATCTTCCAACAAGAGTTTGAATATGAAACTCATACCAGCTATAGGGGAGACATACTACTCAGTTCTAGGATAAATGGTTGGTTTGCATTGCCCCTGGTCTTTATCTAACACTGAGAATAGCCTGCTTTTTATCAAAAGAGGAATAAATTGCTGTTATTGTGATGTTAGCCCATCACTTGGCATTGCAATTCAAGTTTTTGTGAGACAGAAATGTATGATCTAACTGCGACTTGACCTATGCCTTCTGAGATCCATCTAGGTGCTCTAATGGAGCATAAAAAGTATTGAATACAAGGACATGCAAACCGGTAGTGAAGAAATTTGTTTGAGAAGAAGAGCGAAGAGAAAGGGACTCTCATGAGCTCGTGGTTTACATGCTACCAAATTTGTTAAATATGGAAGAAAGCTTACCATGGAACTGCAGTTCTTTTAATTAATGTATTTCAGGATGATTCTATGCACCTCCTTGCATCTAGCACCTCCCTCTCTCTGTCACGGTCTCTGCCTCTCTCTCTTTTTCATCATTTTAAAAGTGGTGTGATTTAAGAGGCTGTACAGGCTTCTTTAATGATCCAGGTTGTTTTGCTGAGAAATCATTAAAATGGTCTATTAAACTGTTAAGAAAATAAGAAACTGGTCCTGTTTCTTTGTAGGGTTTTTGTCTTTTCCAGTACAGGAAAAGTCACGTTAAATGTTTATCAAATACTTGGGCCACAGTACATTGCAATATAAAGTAATTCAAGGGAGATAGTTTGATTACACTACAAAATCCTTCAGTTGTTATAGCATTTCTTGGAATCTATCAGAAAAGGATGGATTTTTTAAAAAGCAATATCTAGGATAGTACCATTTAGATTTTAGCCCTGATAAAGGCTCACTTTCCATTCATAGTCAGAACCTAAATGTGCTCTTCTTGTACCTAAACAGATAATAAGCACTCAGCACACTCCCCCTTCTTGACACAACACACTGAGACTAATCACACATAATTGGAGAGGAGGAGCAGAGGGGCTGGGCAGGCTATTGTGTCCAAAGGACAAATGGTCAGTTTATGAGGCTTTTGTCTGATGCATAATTTCTTATACATCTACAGGAGGAAAAGTCCTGCTGGAAAAGAACATACATACACACACATATATATATAAAGCCTTCAACAATGAAGCAAATGAGGACATTTCAATTATGGATAGAAAAATCAACAGTAGAATTAAAAAAATTTAAAAAAGGAAAAAAAAATCCAAGCATTCAATAGGTGCACTTTTGAAAGATCTTAAGACAACTATTTCTTTACTAATTAAACGTGAATGCATTTACTACTTTACAACCAGTTATATGACCCCACAAAGTATACTATTCACGTATTTTCAAATACAACCCAAAAATAACATTTAAAGAGACTAACAAAGTGCATGCAGGTTTAAAGGCACAAAAGCAAAGGAAGTCAGCTTTACACCTTTGTTAATGCATACACGTGAAGTCTGATTGGTTTTAGGCTGGAATATAATTGAAAAAATACATTCTAAAATGATACAGAAAAGATGCCTCAATGTTAACACTCCATGATATCTTCCTCAGCATTTAGATCAGAAATATTTCTCTAATGATGACTCAGGAACAAAAGGGGGGAATTGAACCCTTCTCACTCCCTGACAATCCACATATGTGGATTAATTTTCAGTAGTCCATCTTAAAATAAACAAAGGAAGTTTCATCTTCTATCTGTGTTTGGTTAAAACGAGAAGAAAAGGGTAATGGAGGTTTTCCTCATATGTATCTTTTTCTTCATTTTTCAACTGCAAATAAAAAATGGATAAAGTGAGAAAACTGCATGAAAGCATTTTTAAAATAGAGAGTTCTTGCTTAACTATGTTCCTTACAGCAAATGATAATACTGAAGATTAAACGTTTAATAACTACAAAAAGAAATCTTAAGGTCAAATACTATCACAGGTATGGAACAGTATGTCAAATATTATCAGGAGTTGGTCAGAGTTCATAGACTAATTCAGGCAATAAACAGTGGAACATTACTTATAAAACAAGTGAGGTTCAAAAATGCTGTATTAAATAAACTATATTCAAGTGAGATTCAAGGCCTGAATTAAATCCACTAAGCAAGGAAGTTCAGAACAAAGGCTAAAAGTTTATCCCTAATCAGCCTAACTATTGCTGTATATTTGGTATTTAAGATCAACAATTGTTTCAGACCTCTGAAGTACTATAAGCTTACCTGAAGGTTTACGTAAT